GGGGGACCGGAGAAACTTACAACTATGCGCTGGGTTCAAGGGAGAGCTTCTGTGTAGTGTGTAAGATGAAAAATGACTGAGGAAGACACCTGACGCCAGCATTTGGCCTCTACATGCACACATGCGCTCATATGTGCATGCACACCCACGCCTGCACACAAATGTGCACCCACACATGTGAGTATGCGTACACAGTGCATGCACACAAAAATAAATAAAAATCAAAGAAGGAAATGAAGACTTCCGAGTGTATCCCTTTCAAAACTTAAAACACAGATAAGAATCAGAAAGCGACGGAAAATAAGTGCTCACATTAAAAAGAGGTAACTTTACTAACAACTTACCCAGGTATCCATAAGATAAAACAGAGGCAGGGTTACCAGATGGGGAGCTATCAGAAGTCCCCGGGACCCCCGCCCCCCACATTCTGTGTTTTTTTTTTTTTTTTTTTTTTTTGGTTTTTCGAGACAGGGTTTCTCTGCGTAGTTTTGTGCCTTTCCTAGAGCTCACTTGGTAGCCCAGGCTGGCCTCGAACTCACAAGAGATCCACCTGGCTCTGCCTCCCGAGTGCTGGGATTAAAGGCATGCGCCACCACCGCCCGGCTCACATTCTGTGTTTTTAAGGATACGAAAAGTAAAAAGATGCTCAAACTCCATCAAAAGATGAGAAGCATAGCCCATGGCACGTGTCTGTGGTGCCAGAACTCAGCAGGGTCAAATAAGAGGAATGTGACATCGGGGCCAGCCTGTGCTACAAAGCACGTTCCTAAACAGGCAGGACAGAATAATAAAACTCTACCTCCACACGGCAAAAGTGAATAAAACATGAGTTAGGTCTGCACTTCGATACTGTTTCCACTTCACAGAGTAACTTTGGGGCCAGGGATGTAGCTCAGTGAAAGGGCAGCCGCCTCAGAAGCTTGATGCCCAAGGTTCAACCCCCAGCAGTACCGAAAACAATTTTTAGAAGTCCTCACTTTACAAGATGATAGTTTGAGAAGCAATGGGCAATCATAACCACACTAGTGTGCTCACCATCAAAATATAGGCGGCTTTTTGTGTTTCACCTCTGCAGACTCACCCAGTACAAGATGACAGAAGTACTGTGGGAAAACATCTAGCTAAGCACACACTTTTCTTGTGATTATTCTGTAACAGCGCAGAAAAACTAAAAGTTCTGTAGTATTTCTATTACAGCAAGTATTGTGAGAAATCTAAAATCAAGTATGCTGGAGGATTCTGTAGATTGCTTGCAAATGCTATCATTATACGCAAACTATTGGAGCATCCGCAGACTATGGGTACCAAAAGATCAGGTGAGTCTCTACTGTTACGACTTCAACTATCAATCTGCTGACCAATGCAAATCACATTAGCTTAGTGGGTTCCCTGATTCTGAACTGCACATGAGACGTTGTTTTTAAGAAAATAAACCAGAACATTAGAAACACCGGAAGGACCAATGACCAACTGTCAACTTAAGGGACCTTAACACATTGTATTTGTTAGGGTTCCCTAGAAGAACAGAACCAATGGAATGAATATTGAAAAGAGAGTATATATTCACAGGGGGGTACAGGAGACTCCCCAAACACGATAGGCTACTACCGATGCCCTTGGTTCCCTACTGCTGAAGACACTGTGTACTTCAGTGCTGCAGGCCACAAAAAAAATAGATGAAGTCGGAATTCAGCCGATTATGACAAAGCTAGACCTGGAGGAGTTAAGCACTCTTCCAGAGGATGAGGCCAAGGCTCAAGGAGTCTTGGTGATACTGGCTTTTGATTATTAGCTGTTTCCTGCTATGAATTTCTCGTGTGCTGTTGTAGCTTTTCCATCATTCATTGGGCACAATGTCCCCTATACAATTAAAGTATTTGTATAACTTTCTCCAATTGTGCTAACAACAGACGAAGACAAAAATCCCTAATTTCGGGCCTTTCTGTAATTATCGTCATTAGCAGCATCTGGCCAGGACCAACCCGGATGGAGGAAAGTATCTTATCTGAGATACCTCACAGACTCTCTAAGAACAGACTTAAGCATCCAGACTATCTGTTTGAGAAGGCCTGGCAGATATGCTAATGAAGCTTAACTTTCTCCTTTCCAAAGTCTTATCTCTAGTTTTAGATCCACCCTTAACAATTTTACTCAGAACTCAAGGGTTGATACTTACAGGTACATCTACCTGTGACAGAAGTTGCCTACCTAAGTTGCCTAGCAACCGAGCACACTTCCCCCAGCCAGAAAAGTGAGGGAGCAGCGATAGCTTAGAGAGGTAAGGGCCAAAGGGATAAGAGGCAGTTTTATCTTCAGAGATGGGTTGGAGAAGAACAAAGAAAATGGAAGAACTAGATGGGTAAGAACTGGAGGGGACTGAACTGAGATGGGGAAGAACTAGATTGGAAGAGAACTGGATTAGAGGAGAACTAGATTGGAGGGCTAGAAGAGAAGACTAGAGAACAGGATGGAAGATGGGGAAGAGCCAGATGGGGAAGAACGAGGTGGGTAAGAACAAGATGAGAAAGACCAAGATGAGGCAAAATTATATAAAGGAATTAAGATAGCACTCAGAGGGAACAGCAGAAAGAGACAGAGAGTATCAGGCAAGAAAGGAGCAATTTATGAGAGCAGAAAAGAAGCCGTGTAAAGAGAGAACTGACTCAGAAGAATAACGTATATGGACTAAAGAGTTTCGTGTATGTAGATTTCTTAGAGAATCCCTCAGATTAATCCACCACTGGTAGCGTCTCTTCTGGAACTCTGGGTGAAGGCTATTGAGGGGATGAACCCCAATAGCTTTCGATACTGCAGATACAGCACCCAGAGAATCAGATCTGAAAGATCCCTCCCTGAGCTTTTATGGTACCAGAAGAGGCCACGCAAGTTTCCAAAGGAGAGAATTAACCAATAGTGCTACCCAGCTATGAAACCTATGAACGATACCAACGACCAGGATAACATAACACATGCAAGAATTGGAAGTAACTAACAACTCTCTTAACTGGATTTAATATTTGCTAACCAAGAAGGAAATCATGCCTGGTACTGGAAACCTAGCCAGCTCCCCAGAGCCAGTGAGATCATGTGTCTGGGAGGAGAGCCTACAGCTGTCACATTACTAGGCCAGCATAGTTTCCAACCCCGTTCTAAATACTCACTCCCACACTCACAGATAAACGTAGTTCTCACCCCTCATCAAAGAAAATTCTCTTTGCGACCGATGGAGACGGTTAGAGAAAAGCACCCAACCGATCAAAATGCAGAAAACAACTAACCATGTCAGCTACAATCGATACACCCACAATACAACTCCTACACCTGAAGCTCAGGGAACACCCACAGGGGCGGAGGGGTAAGTCCCAGAGGGGCTGGCTGTCCAGTGTCAGATTGTGTCTCCTAGAAATGTCAGGGAAGCTACGCCCAGGAAGCTTCAACAACACAGGTCCCAAACACGACCTGAACAAGGACCACACCAACAGACATGCTAATATGGAAAGGCAAAATCTCATGGGCCCCAAGCCTAGACAAGGAACTACAGGCCAGGAAAGATTGCTGAGAACTGCAGAAACAGTCTTCCCCTAGGAAGAACCTCCAACTGATTATTCAATACCAAGTGATCAGCCCTGAAATTATATACATACAAGTAACATTATATAGACTTAGGTTGTATTTGTGTGTGTGTGTGTGTGTGTGTGTGTGTGTGTGTGTGTGTGTGTGTATGTGTCTGTGTGTATAACAATTAAAGAAAAGGCTATGAATTTGAGAAAGAGAGCAGGGGGTACACAAGAGGTACTGGAGTAACTAAGATATTCCAGCAGTTTGTGTCTAATGACAGCATTTGCAAATACACAAGAAAAAAATGGTAAGGAGTAAAATACAGTTCTCTTCAGTCTCTTCCTACTTAGAATAAAAGGCCTGCCATGGAAAGGGTACCCAAAATAGAACTCAGAGTAATAGAATTCGCACTGCACACAAATAATTGACAAATAATACAATATTAGTTATATTAATTGCAAATATTAATTAAAAAAAAACAAGAACAAAAAACAATCGCCAGGCATTGGGGTGCATGACTCTAATCCCAGCACTAGGGAGGCAGAGGCATATGGTTATCTGTGAGTTCCAGGTGAACTTGATCTAAACAGAATTCCAGGATAGCCAGAGCTGCACTACACAGAGTCTCTCCCTCTCTCTCTTTCTCTCTGTCTCTGTCTCTCTGTCTCTCACACACATGTGTATGTGATATGTATACATTATATATAATGTTCTATGTTAACATTAACATATATGTGTTAAATATATATTTTAAAATAGGGATTTTATTAGATTGGCTTATACAATGTATTAGTTATGCTAATTAGTATTGCTATGATGAAACACCATGACCAAAAGCAAGTTGGGGAGGAAAGGGTTTATTTGGCTTACATTTCCACATCACTGGTCATCATCAAAGGAAGTCAGGACAGGAACTCAAACAGGGCAGGATCCTGGAGGCAGGAGCTGATGCAGAGGCCACAGAGGGGTGCTGCTTACTGGCTTGCTTCTAGTAGCTCGCTCAGCCTGCTTTGTTATAGCACTCAGGACCCACCAGGCCAGGGGTGGCCCCACTCACAATGGCCTGAGCTCTTCCGTATCAATCACTAATTAAGAAAATGTTTCACAGGCTTGGCTACAGCCAGCTCTACTGGAGGCATTTTCTCAAATGAAGTTCCCTCCTCTCCGACAACTCTATTGTGTGTCAAGTTGACATAAAACTAGCCAGCACGTGCAATACAATCTGGGTTAGTGTGACAATGGTTGTCTTCACACGGGAACGACTGACCAGTTCGCAAGGTTGGATATCTCTGTAGTCCTAACCTCATGCTGAAACCCTAGAGGGTCCCTGGAGATCCACTGAACTTTCAGTCCATGTCAGACGTCCAAATAGTATCAGCAAAAGAATGTAGCAGCAGCAGCAGTAACAGCAACAAAAGCCGCAACAGAATAGATGAACTTACCAGCAAGACTGTAAGAGCAAAGGCAAAGCTCTCCTCTAGGACTTCCTTTTAATTGAGCTGCCAATGGAAGGTAACACCCACATGAGTCTTCCCACCTCAGACAACCTAACCAAGAAAATCCCTCACAACTATCAATTTTAATTGATTCTAGATCCAGTTAAACTGACAACCAAGGCTAAACATCACACACATGGGCAGTTTTCACTTCATAACAGCTGACAATTTCTGAATATCTATAGCATGAGAAGTTAAGTTTAATGAAAAAAGAAAACATAGGTAAAGAGTAAAACTGCTTTTCTCTTCAGTCTCTTCATGCTCAGGATAAAAGACCTGCCATGCAAAGTGTACCCAAAACAGAACTCAGAGTAATAGAATCAACTTCACACTGTGCACAGATACTTGGCTGATGTATTTGTTGAAACAGGGTCTTGCAATGTAAGTGAGGTGGCCTGGTACTTCCTGTACAGCCCAAGCTGGCCCTGAACTCAATCCCTCATGCAACATCCCAACTACTAGAAATACAGGCGTGTACAAATATATGCAAATGTGACCAATTATTTCAAAGAACACGTGGCAATCAAATTGACAGGGGATCTGTAAGTCAAGGAAGATAAATACTACAAAAAGAGGAAATTTCGGATCTTTTGGGTTTTCGTTGGAATAGGGCATTCTTAAACTTCGTGGAGTTTACTCAAGTAGGCACTTGAATGGGTACTAGCCTCATTCTCAGATGTGAGGATGTTCAACATTACAGTTTTTCTGAAGTAGTCACAAAACACAACAGAGACCTAGTCTACAAACGGGCCCAGAGAAGGCAGTATATATTTTTGCAAAGAAGAGAATTCTAAAACTCACAACATGGGTGATATGTCTACAATGGGTGCCTACTACCCTGATGTCAGACACAGAAACACACACACCAACAACAACAACAAAAAACCACTGAGTGACCCAAATTTTCCAAGCTTCATTCAAGGGACTATATATGAACTTCCAAGCTTTGGGAACAAAGGAGGTGAAAATGTCCCTAGACCTCAGGCAGGGGAGTAACTGCAAATACATTCGTAAGCACATCCATGGAGCAGTCATAAGGTAGAAAAGAGGTTTAAAAAAAACAAACAAACAAACAGGTCCCTGTACAGTCCTAGAAATCATTTCTAGTATATGCTTCCAGGAGCTGCATAAAAGCATGGATTCTAATTAATTTAAAACAGCAATTTAAGCCGCGCGGTGGTGGCACACGCCTTTAATCCCAGCGCTCAGGAGGCAGAGCCAGGCGGATCTCTGTGAGTTTGAGGCCAGCCTGGTCTACAAAGTGAGTTCCAACAAAGGTGCAAAGCTACAAAGAGAAACCCTGTCTTGACAAACCAAAACAACAACAACAACAACAAAAACCCAGCTATTTAACACAGGGCTGAGCATAGCTTTTAGAAGGGCTGTCACCAAAAAGATAACCCAGCCCTCAGGAGACATCAGCAAAAATAAGGAAATTTCCAGGCCAGCCTGAACTACAAGAAGCGAAGTCTGTCACTAGAAAGAAAAAGGGGGGAAAGAGGAACATAAACACGGGGGGTGGGGGTGGGGGTGGGATTGTAAATATAATCCTCAGAAACTATTGGAGATGACAAACTGACTATCAGAATTTTTTTTTAATTTGAAAGCTCTTCAAAAATAAAAAAATTAAAATTGTCTTACTGTATCACCCAAAAGTCACAATACAGAGTAAGTATAGCAGGATGAAGACACAGTTATAGTACAGTAGCCAATATGTAAACAAAATGCAGTGTCTCCACATACAATATACCAAAGGTTCCCCCCACCCCACCCCCCCTTGGCATCCAGCCGCTCCTCTTAAAGGCCGCGTGCTCACAGATCAACCCTGGAACAGAATCCAGGGACTCCCCCTTTATTATACAACTCCTATCCTGAGACGGGGCAGCTGGGAGCACCTAGTATCAGCACTTAATGCCAGGAAGCATTGAAATGCAGTTTAAAAAAAAAAAAAAAAGTACATTTGGAGGATGAAACGAAGACACACCACCTCTGAAAGATACCATGATGAAGTGTCTGTACGAGGAGGGAAGTGTGACACGAGAAGTTTTACCAGGACTCTTAACTATCCTGTGCTTTTCAGCTCCGGCGCAACGTTCACGAACACAAAACAAGTCCTTTCGAATTTGCCACCTGACGTGCACGGGGGGTCAAGAAAAATAAATAAAAAGCACGGAGTCTGTTTGAAATCTACGCGGGGGAGCAGTTTGATGTGAAGACGGGAAGCTGGCGTGGGAAAGTCTTAGGAATTGACTGTCCTGAATGGATGCTGCCCATACATTAGGATGCTGAGAAGGGGGTTCGGGGACCCCAGCCCAGAGCTCAGTCAGGACCCGCACACAGGGAGTCGGGTTGTCCCCAAGATCCCGCCATCGGGCTGCCCAGCCTGTGCCCCCGCTGTGAGCCGACAGAGCCGCCCCAGAAGGAATCGATCGGCGACCCGCCGCTAACCCCGAACCGCTGCAGCTACTAAGGAGGCCGGGCCCCGACTCACCATGTCCGGATTCCGGAACGAAATTGTTCCCGCGGTGTCCCGTTCCGGGGGAGTCCGGGTTCCCGGGTCTCTGGGGCTCCTCGGCGTCCCGTTCCGGGGTCTCCGGGTTCCCGTTCTGGAGACACGTTCCGGAGTGTCGGGGTTCCGAGGTGTCTAAGGAGTTCTCGTGTGATGTCCAAGTGATGAGGTCACAGGCTGACCGGACACAGCGAAACCGGAAGTGCAGACTGGAAACAGATCCCACTTTAGCGGCGCCCCACACAAAGCCCGCCCAAGGCTGAAGCCCATCTCAGGGGCAGTTCTCAGCCTAGCAGCCCTGCCTGAAGAACACTTCCGGGCTCCCTGCATCCCTGATAGACAGTGCAAGTTACCACTTCCAGGCTGAGTAAGGACAAAATGACAGGTCTTTGCTGCACAGATTTGTATTTTAAAGATTTATTTTATTTTTAAATATTTTGGGCAATTCCCTGAGAATTTCGCACAATGTGTTTTGACCAAACTTCTGTATATTTTGCATTCCCTTATAGTTGCTTCAAGTCCCTATTAAATATTTGCAAATTGTAAGTTTCACTTCTGGCCTTGTGATAAGCAACTGGCATGTCAACATAATTTCCACTTTGTTCTGGAAAGGATACTCAGATGAATACAGAACCTTTTTTTTTTTTTTTTTAAATACAGAATCTTATATTGACATTCTTTTTTTCTGAATTTAAAAATGTAACTTTTGGGCACACACACACCGGCAGAGAGCTGGGCGGTGGTGGCACCACGGGAGGCCTTTCCGTTCCAGCGGCTGCAAACGACGACGCTGAGGCGACATGGAAGTGTAAGCGGAAGGATGCGAACGCAGCACTGCTCAGTAACTACGAGGTGTACCAGTTACTGACAGACCTCAAAGGGCAGCGGAAGGAGAGCGGGAAGAACAAGCACAGCGCTGGGCAGCAGAACTTGAACACCATCACCTACGAGACATTAAAATACATATCAAAAACACCATGCAGGAACCAGAGTCCCGAGATTGTTCAAGAATTCCTCACAGCAATGAAAAGCCACAAGCTGACCAAAGCTGAGAAGCTTCAGCTGCTGAACCACAGGCCAATGACTGCTGTCGAGATCCAGCTGATGGTAGAAGAGAGTGAAGAGCGGCTCACGGAGGAGCAGATCGAAGCCCTTCTGCTTACTGTCACCAGCATTCTGCCTGCAGGCCCAGAGGATGAGCAGAGGAAAAGCACTAGCAATGATGTGGCCATGGAAGAGGAAGACCCGGCATAGATGTGCACAGCTGGCCAGGATGTTCGCGAAGTTCGAAACCCAACAGCCATTTCCTGGATGTTCAGAGGATTGTGTGTTTGGTTTTACCCCCTCTCTCAATATGCCTGATCTCAGGGTGGGTTGGGAAAATCACAAAACTAAGATAAAAAGAAAAAAAAAAAATGTAACTTTTTTGTTGTTTGCTTGTTTGTTTTTCAAAACAGGATTTCTCTGTGTATCACTGCATGTAGAACTCACTCACAGAAATGTTGTGGGGTACCCACCAGAGAAGATGGTTTGAACATGGGTTTAAGCCAATTGGAAGTTTTTGTTAGCCAGCTAACGATTACACTGGATGTTCAGGATCCCAGTGTCGCCCTGAGCCTTTCTCAGGGTGAGCTTTTAAGCACAAAAAAACAAAACAAAACAAAACAAAACAAAACAAAAAAAAATCCCGGTTGGCATACTTCAGATGCAAGATCAGTTAGCTAGAAGCAGAACTGCAGAAACCAAAAGGCAAGGTTAGTACATTAAAGACTTTCCCAAAACTATAGACTTTCATGGATTAGGTCTTTGTTTTCATTTTGGCTAGTGGTGCTGTCTATATGATCAGTTTTAGGGCCTGAATGGTACTTCCATCATGGAGTCAGTTGTGTTAAGGTCTGGGGGGCCTGTTACAAAAAGAAAATGATTACTGCCTTGCTTCCCAGGGCTTGCTCAATTACTGTTCTTAGGCCCACCTACCTAGGAATGGCACAACCTGCCTACAAATGGCACCACCAGACGTGGGCTGGGTCCTCCTACATCAATTAGCAATTAGGCCAGTCTGGCAGAATCTATTCCTGGGGCTGGAGATATGGCTCAGGGGTTAAGAGCACTGACTGCTCTCCCAGAGGTCCTGAGTTCAGGTCCCAGCAACCACATGGTGGCTCACAACCACCTGTAATGAGATCTGGTGCCCTTGTCTGGCCT